CTATAAAAGATTTGTATACATAATTCTTTCAAAATTATCAACCTGTCTGCAGGATAGTTTTAAATAATAGAACAATAAATATTAATAAATAGGTTAAATATTTTTAAAAAATACATTTTTTAATTTAAAATTATCTTTATTTATATCTTTACAACCAACTTTGTCCAGTTCTTCTAATGCCTTACCAACTGATATTACTTCAATTACTTGTTCAATATATAAAAAAAAATTTAAATCAAAACATAGTTTATCTTTGCAACATGCTATAATACAAAAATACAATAACAGTAATCGATTAAAAATCATACCAAAACATTCTATATTAGAATTTAAAGAAATATTAGTATAGTTAATTTATTGTAAACTTTCCTCTAATTTTAAAAAAAATGGGAAAACAAATAATTTTACTATCTTGTACAGAAAATCAATTTTATACAGTTTTTAAAGATCATATTCACTATTATTCAGAAAAAAAAATATATTACAAATGTATTTTTTCTGGATTATCAGCCTATACAACATTAGCAAAAATTTTTAATACAAAAAAATAGGATCAAAAATTATATGTACAAAATTAGCAAACATATGTTGTACTTAATAATTATAGTAAAAGTAATGAAATAGATCCTTTAATAGAATTAGCAAATCAAAACAAATCTATAAAAAAAAGAAAATCTAAATTTCAACATGAAGAAATTTTGGTTAAATGGAAGCAAAAAAAAATTAAAGAAGGTGATAGTATTTTTTGTGCAGGATTTATCTATATTAATTTTTTTATTTCACAAAAAAGAATGTAATTTCTATTTTATACAAATTTTTTTAGGTTTTTTTAAATTAGATGATATTTGATTATAAGAATAATAGTGTTCTATTTTCATATTCTAAAATTTCCAAAATTGCTAATTTTCTTTTTTGTAGATACCCACCATTTTTTAATATTTTTTTAAAAAATTGAGATATATGTTAATGATTTTTTTTTTCTACAGCAGAACAAGAAAAAGCTTTTAAATCCTATTGTTGATGTTTTTGAAGCAGTTCCTAACTATGATATACAAATGCATGAATATATGGCATTATATGACTTGGTAAATATAACCCTTTTATAAGTTTTTGATTATTTTTAGGATCTTCTGTATTTGCCATTAAAAATAATTTTAACCATTTATAAGAAGCTTTTTTAAATTCCAAAGAATTGGTATTTTTATCTTGAATTGCTTCATATAAGTTATAAAAATTATTCTATAGATTTCTTATAAGTTGTGCATGTGATTTAGGAAAAAGAAGCTTCAAATTAAAGTATCATAGAACTTTGATTTTATTGTCACCTATTAGTAAAGTATGATTTTTAGTTCCTGAATCTTTATCTTTCCAAAATTGATAAGGAATATGAAGTCATTTTATTTTATTTATAATAATATTACAAGTTAAATCATTATAAAAATTTTTTTCCTTAATTTCAGCTAGAACCAAATCCCAAAGATGATCTGAAATTCGTAATAAAACATGTAATTCATCAAATATTATATTATCTATAGAAATCATATCAAAAAGTAGTGCATTTATATGTCCTAAAATATTTAGATAATTTTTTTTAATCTTATCCATAGTTTTTGTTATTCACCAATCTTTTGATAAATCTCCATGTTGTTGTTTAGAACACAAGCACCATGGACAAAAATGAAGAGAATTGGCTGTATTTAATCCTAAACAGATAGCAAGAAATTTCCAATCAAAGCTAAAGTATAATTGAAATTTCCAATGAATATTAGCAATTAACATTCCATCCTTTTTAATAGACCATAAATCATTAAGAAATTGGCTCATTGTAATTTTAAGTGTATTATAAGCTTTTGCTTCAGAATTTAAAAGAATTGTATAATGATAATTTGGATTATAATGATGATTTATATTATTTAATATCATAAAAGTTATCATAACATGCTTTATCTTATGTCCAACATTTCTGCCATCTCCTGAAATATGCAAATGAATTGTAGAAAAACTTAAAAGAGTGTTGTTATCTTTTAAATATGGTATTATATAGGTAAGAATATCTTTAATACTTCTTTGAGCATCTAGTTCTAAAATATTATTATTATTAGATTTTAAACTATTATCTGAATTACTATTTTCTGATTCAATTATATTTTTTAAATTGTTATTATAAATAGCTAATATGTTAATTTTTTTATTCATTTCTTTAATTAATGCTATCTTCACATCAAATATTGCATATTCTCGAAATATATAAAAATTAATTGCTGCAAGATCTTAATAAGCATTCTGTAAGATTTGTCCCTGATTAATTGCTTGTACTATTGCTAAATTATTTTCTTTTTCTTTACTAAAATTAACATAAAAATCTTGCCCATTAATAGAATATTCTAAAGTCTTTAAAACTACTTGATCACTATTATGATATAATTGTGTTGCTTGAAATTAAAACTTTTGATTTATCAGTTTACCAAATTTACAAGCTCTTTTTTCAAATGTAGATTGACTACATTGATTTATTGGTTTTAATTGCTTTGGTGTTTCCTATACAATTTTAACTAATTTTAATTGCAATCCAAATATATATATATCAATATCAGATATTAAAACTTCTTTATTAAAACCAAGAGTCTAATAAAAATAATTAATTAATTATTATCCCTTAAACTGTATTCCAGGCAAATTTGCCTGGAAAATTAAATTGTATTTAGTATTTTTTAAATAAAAC